AGTTGTAAACAAATATGCTACAATTTTGTATATATTTTTTTAATTATTGTATAGAGATATGCTACAATGAAAAGTAATTTTTAAAAGGAATTTGCACTACATATTCTTTAACGTTGTAGTAGAGAGACAAACAGTTTGTAGGAAAAAAGGTAATTACAATATTATATTAATTTTCACTACAACTTGTTTCTGTCCCTATATTCGCTACTAGTTCTATAATTGTAGAAGTTTGTTCTGCAGTTTTCTCTGAGTGTAGGCCTAAAGCCTATAAACTAAAACGTATCAAAAATAATAGGCATACATATAAATGCTAGGGTAGAAATAATGTAAAATTGTTCCTCGCCCCAAACAGTTTCTACATATTTAAAAAGAATTAGTATTTAGTGCCAATAAATCCATGACGAAGAACTTAATGTTCTGTATGAAAATAAGCAGTAATTAATTATGTATCTATCTATCTAAATTTCTGCTCGTTTCTAATAAAAATTGAGAAAGAAGGTCAACTGTCTGCTTTTTGCAAAAACTTGTTCGGGATTTATGATGTAAAACAACGAAATTCCAGTTAAATTCGTATTATCTTTGTTTTCCAGGAAACTGCCACTTTACAAAAAATGATATTCTGCTTGAAGATTTCATTAGTTTAATATCTCGACTAATCTTCGCTTAACTATTGCTGACAATATAATCTTACATTCACTCAATAAGAACATGTACATTGTTTTTTAATATTATGAAATGAATAATGAAAATTGTAATACACTTCCGAAAATCTGCGCCAGGGGAATTACACTTTTCATTCTACTTCGTTTTTAATCTATTATTCTTTAGTATTTCTTTGGTATTAAAATCGAATCCAAGAAATACTGAAAATTGAAAATCATAATTAAAATTAATATGAAATATTATTCTGAAAATTCATTTCTGATTTTTTTTACCCACTACACACTACCTCAAATTAATGAAGGTCGGTTGGTCGTGGTTGCTGTTGTCACCTCTCGTAGTTTAGTGGTCAGAACATTGTTGCTTAAAGCCAAAGGTCCCGGGTTCGATTCCCGGCGCGGGTGTGACAACAACAACAACAATTTTTCCCTCATTAATTTGAGGTAGTGTGTAGTGGGTAAAAAAAATTCAGAAATGAATTTTCAGAATAATATTTCATATTAAACTAACTCACTTCTAAAAGATGCCTAAATTGTATGTATGTTTATAATTAAAATTGTTTTTTAAGGTGGAGGAATCTCAAATGATTTTTAATTAATTTTCTGATTGTAAGGATTAGTTAAAATTAAGAATCATAACTAGAACTCCTTTTTTTTAAAGCTGAGGAACCTCACAGCTGTTTAAGACCATGTACGGTGGATGGAGAGCCTCTCACATGTTACTACAATTGGACATTGGCACTTTTCCGAACGATGAGCAAGGCTTGTTACGATTGTCCCAAAAATTTGTCAGATTGTTACTTAGAAGACTGTATCGCAGCTGATGGTACAGAAAAAATGATATTTTCAGTTAATAAATTACTGCCAGGACCTAAAATTGAGGTATTTACCAGTTTTCTGGACGGATAAATTAAAATGGATTGAGAATTATAGTTACTACGCTCTGAAATTGAATAAAAATTGTGATTTACCCCAAAAATAGTTCCCACCTGAGTAGATTATCTGACTAATGCTTGAAATTCGGGCTTGATGTTTCTCCTTCGGTGAGAACACCCTTGAAGTATTGGTATCCTCGGGGAATGCACCATTGTAGTAAATCTCCCATATATTTGGTACTGCGCCAGTCGTACTAGCTGGAGAGACGTTTTTAGTTCTTTCTTTCTAGGCAAAACTCTTCAATGATCATTCTCAGTTTCTCAAAAATACAGATAATACAATCTGTTATTCAATGACAAGCATTCAAAATACACCGAGCGGCATGGCCTAGAGGTCTATGCCATTGCTAGCATTCGGGAGGACGTCGGTCCGATTCCGGGTCCGTCTGCCTTGGTTCAAGTTTTTCTATGGTTTCCTTAGATAATCTATCATTCTATTTTGTCTTCATTTCGTCCATTTCACCTTTCTTACGCGAACTACCATCTACCCATTCCCACGATTCCTGAAAGCAGGCTGAAGAGGGACTTCCGCCCTATCTTCTGGCGAAGGGACTGCCCGCCCATCAGCATTAGTGGCTGGTGGGAATGAAACACCCAAAAGTTTTTTGTTCATTCAAAATACATATTTGAGCGATTTCAAAGAATTTATCCAAATATTCATGGTTTTGGCTTCCCCCCGAATTTTATTAAATTACTCGATATCAATCAATGTCAATATAATAATGTTCTGAGACATAACAAAAAGTTGGGTCTAGAATGAAGTCGGGGTAGCGATCCCCCAGGGGGTTGCAATATACATCATTGATCTCAAAATACTGAATATTGTTTATTAAAGATTTATTTGTTTTGGCAACAGTAGTAGTATGAGCTGATTATGTCATATGCATAAGAACTTAAATACTACTTATCAAATATATAGTTTTCATATTTTTACGCATTTATTACTACATATGGCTACTGCCAGAAGGCGTTGTGATAAGATAAGACGACGAAACAAAATTCTACGTTAATCATATTAAAATTTATTTATATTAATGGAAAAGTCACTTTTGAAATGAATAAACAACCAACTTAGTTTCGTTATTCTTAACAAGGAGTAACATAAACATATATTCATTTCGGGATGTTTTCTTGCTAGTAATGCCACGTGATATTATGTCTTCTTTACAGATTTGTGAAGGCGATACAATTATTGTGGATGTAAAAAATATTCTTCCAGCTATAAGTACTACAATACATTGGCACGGTATACCGCAAAGAGAAACACCGTATATGGACGGAACACCCATGATAACACAGTGTCTCATTGAACCGTACACCACCTTTAGGTACAAATTTCAGCCGAAGGTTGCTGGTTCCTTTTGGTGGCATTCCCATGCTGGTGTGTATAAAAATGCAAAAAATGTTTTCAAAAATAAGACTATGAACAACTAAACTGATTTAAACATGTGTCATCATCATAAGGTCGTCAGTCCTAAGACTGGTTAGACACACACCTCCACTCCTTTTTATCTTGGGATAATCTTCGCATTTCCCTAAAACTAGAACATTCCACATCTAATCTAATCCTGGTCTACCTCTATTCTTCTTAACTCCCGTTTCTGTCTCTAATATGTCTCTGACTAGACCTGCATGTCTAAGGAGGTGTCCTACCACCCTATCTCGCTTATTTTTTATTAACTTCCATAGGGTCCTCTGTACTCCGATTATTTCTAGTACCTCTTCATTTCTAACCACCGTATCCTCATCATTCGCCAGTAACACCACAACATGTGTATTAATTTAATATTAATCTGATGACGGTCTGTAGTTTCTTAGAGTTCTCTTCGTATTTTAGCATGTCAAAGGGATGGTATATACGGTGCATTGATTATAAGACAACCAAAAGAAAAGGATCGTCAGGGTTATTTGTACGATTATGATGAATCAAGTCATGTAATTGCGGTTCAGGATTGGTTTAATAGAACTTGCTATGATAAGATTAATTATGTGGAATACAGCACGGGTGCTATTACAGATCACACATTGCTTGTAAATGGCCGTGGAAGATTTAGGAAAATTAATGGTACTTACACTCCAGTTAGCAGATTTGTTGTGAAAAAGGTATTTTAAATTTAAATACTTAGTAAAATTGTATTGGAGATTGGGTCATTTCTAATACGTAGGGACGTCTTCGTCAGAACTGTATTTGGTCCATTTGGATTACAGTTTTTAATAAAGATATATTACTTTAACGGAAATATCTAGTATTCTGCAAGTATAAAGTTCAAGTGGAGACTTTACTTACACGTCCAGAAATCGTGACAAAATTGTTTAAATGAACAGATGAAACTCAAAAAGTAAATACAAAATAACTGAGATGATATAATATAGTAGTTAGAGGATAGTATTGAGTCTCACTTAAGAGTTACTTTAGCGAGAAAAATGCTTTCTAACTTTATTTATTGTTACATTATTATGATTGTAATATTTGGTGCATGTAGAGTTGCCTATATATCATATTACAAATTAAAGTTTAATTATCAAAAAAGAATATAAATTAAGAATCCTGACTGCATGTAGATGGAAAAATGGCTATTTATAGATGAAAAATCATCAGTCTACTTTAATGAAACCAAAATTATATGTCAATTACAGACTTTATTTTAAATTGTCCCGGCGCCTCCACCAAAATTTTATATAAAATGTTTTAAGAATTACCGATAACGTTTGTGTAACTTTATGAATATCCAATATTTGGCATTGAAACAATAGTTTTTAATATGCAATTAACTAAATACACTTAATTAGTCACTAAATACCTTTATAGCACCTCAAAATAAAAACAAGAACGGGTTTTTAACCATATTCTACAACAGTATATATTTAACAATATTACTGAGTAATTAATATTTTCTACGTATCTTCTGGTGATTTCTTCGAGAACAGTATTACGTTTTATATAAAGAAAGATATTTCTGTGAGAAAAAGTGCTTTCTAACTGTATTTATAGTTACATTATTAGGGTTGTAATATTTGGTGCATGTAGAGTTGCCTATAAATCATATTACAAATTAAAGTATAATTATTAAAAGAGAATATAAATTAAGAACCTTGACTGCATTTAGATAGAAAAATGTAATTTATTGATGAAAAGTCATCAGTCTACTTTAATGAAACTAAAATTATATGTCAATTACAGTTTATTTAAAATTGTCCCGGCGCCTCCACCAAAATTTTCAGTAAAATTTTTGTTAATTGTTGATAATTTTTACGTATCTTTATGAATGTCTACGTTCAGTTATGCACTTTTAAGAAAATGTAATTCCAAAGTTTTTTAATTTTTATTCAGCAATGTTTTCTTAAATGGCTGAGTTTTTTATAGTATTCTCTGTGTAGTCACTGACCATAGGTCCAATANGCTATTTATAGATGAAAAATCATCAGTCTACTTTAATGAAACCAAAATTATATGTCAATTACAGACTGTATTTTAAATTGTCCCGGCGCCTCCACCAAAAATTTTAACAAAATGTTTTAATAATTATTGATAACGTTTGTGTAACTTTACGAATGTCCAATTTTCGGCACTGAAACAATAGTTTTGAATATGTAATTAACTAAATACTCTTAATTAGTCACTAAATGCCTTTATAGCAGTTCAAAATAAAAACATGTACGGGTTTTCAACCGTATTCTACAACAGTATATCTTTAACAATATTACTGAGTAATTAATATTTTCTACGTAACTATTGGTGATTTCTTCGAGAATAGTATTAAGTTTTATATAAAGAAAGATATTTCTGTGAAAAAAAGTGCTTTCTAACTGTATTTATAGTTACATTATTAGGGTTGTAATATTTGGTGCATGTAGAGTTGCCTATATATCATATTACAAATTAAAGTTTAATTATTAAAAGAGAATATAAATTAAGAACCTTGACTGCATTTAGATAGAAAAATGTAATTTATTGATGAAAAGTCATCAGTCTACTTTAATGAAACCAAAATTATATGTCAATTACAGTTTATTTAAAATTGTCCCGGCGCCTCCACCAAAATTTTCAGTAAAATTTTTGTTAATTGTTGATAATTTTTACGTATCTTTATGAATGTCTACGTTCAGTTATGCACTTTTAAGAAAATGTAATTCCAAAGTTTTTTAATTTTTATTCAGCAATGTTTTCTTAAATGGCTGAGTTTTTTATAGTATTCTCTGTGTAGTCACTGACCATAGGTCCAATAGGTAGTCAAGCATATTAATTTGGTATTGTCTAATAATATACATTTGTCATTAAAATGTTGCAGTAGGGCGCGCGCCTTAGAGTCCTTTAGTACTAACTGTGCAACTGTACAAGAAGTTTCGAGAACTATAATACCTATAACATTTACCCTTTTCAACAGGGATATCGCTACCGTTTTCGGGTGATAAACAATGGTCTTCTTGACTGTCCCATTGCAGTGTCTGTTGACAGCCACATAGTAACCCTGATCAGTTCGGACAGTCGAGATTTCAAGCCAGTTAACGGTATGATTTTTTTCATAAACTAATACCAAAAATTATAAAGAAAATGACAATTATATATTTTAATCTACTAAAAGAGGCCTTTCTCTGTAGCTTCATCGTTCGTGACTTATGCTGGAGAAAGGTGGGATTTCGTTCTGAATGCAGACCAACCTGTAGGGTTATACTGGATAAAATTTAAGGGCTTACTATTTTGTTCACAATTAAAAAGTTATCAGGTTGCTGTTTTGCAATATGAAGGGGCTTCTGATACAGATATACCCTCTGATAAAGTTGGCTACAGCAATGCACAGAACAAGGGACTGGTAAGTACCATCTGCTACCAGAGAAAATAAAAAACCTGAAATCCCAGTTAGGAACCAAAAGACTACATTATTCCTACAATTCTTTTAAGTACAATAAAAATAACATTTCTGTACCTTCGACAGTTACGTTAAATTAATTGGGTCACAAATTTCAGCGATAAGGTGTTGATAAGAAAGTTCCTAAGAACCCAATTCTATCACACTATTAGTCCCAGTATGTAGTTTCGGATCTATCATACCCTTGATGTGTTAAACATAATCACCACATGGGTTTTGATTAACCAATAGAATTATTTGGAAACATCTACTGACTTCAATGAAAATCTATCAGCATTTGGAGCAGTTTCAATATTTCAAATCATTTCCAGAAGTGTTTGTAGGTCTTCTGAAATAGCTGTTGACTGAACTATATTTTTTCATGGATCTTACAGATCATGCAGTTTTTTCCTAGGACGTTTTAATTTTCTCATTTCAAGTAAATGGATAAGTTTTTATTAATTTTCGTTTATATAGTGAAACCTTATATTTATCTATTTTCTATGGTGTATTGTTTATATGCCGTAACTAAGCAGGTGGGTGTTTATAATCTCTATTACCTTTCCTGCCTATCGTAGTATTCAATAGCTTTTTTGTCCTATCTCATTCGTCTAAAACATCTGTTTTTCCCACGTCCGCTTTTTTACGATATCGTTTAGGATTAGGGTGTCTGTCGATCTTTGTACAAACATGTTGCGGGTACGCAATTACTAAAGTTAGTGACTGACAATGAGGGAAATGTCTTAGCCAGAACGCGTTGTTGATTTCCTCTACTGTCTTTGCTTTACTTCTATAGGGTTGTTCGGAAAGTCATTTCGTTTTTTTTTTTGTGGAAATGAAAGCCAGTTTTCGTATAATAAACAAATACTTTATTAAAATATATATTGACCGTTCTGGTCCAACACCTTTTGCCATCTTTCTGGTAGTAGCATAATTCCACGCTCATAAAATTTTTGGTCTTTGCTGGCAAAAAACTGATCGAGGAGGTTTTTGACCTCCTCATTTGAGGTGAAGGTTTTACCGTTTAAAAAATTTTGGAGTGACCGGAACAAATAATAATCCGATGGTGCCAGGTCTGGAGAATATGGTGGGTGTAGCATTGTATCCCATTCAAGCTGTAAAACCTTTTGGCGAGTGACCAAACTTGTGTGAGGTCTCGCGTTGTCTTGGTGAAACACTACACCTTTCCTGTTGATTAGTTCTGACCTTTTCTGTTGAAGTGCATCATTCAGTTTGTCCAGCTCATGACAGTAGACTTCCGAATTAATCGTTGTGTTATCCGGTAAAAGCTAAAAAAAAACGATTCCTTTAAAATCCCATTAAACAGACAGCATCACCTTTTTTTGGTGAATATCTTTTTTGCCCCATGACCTCTTGCGTTTGACGTTGTTGTGTACAACCCATTTTTCGTCCCCAGTAATGATGCGCTTCAAAAACGGATCATTTTCGTGACGTTTGAGAAGCGAATCGCAGACGTCAATGCGACGATACAGATTTCTCTCTGTGAGAACATGGGGAACCCATACATCGAGCTTCGAGGATAATCCCAGGCCTTTCAAGTGGTCATAAACTGTTGAATTTGATAAATTTAACCTCAATCCGATCTCACGTGTTGTTATTCGCCGGTTCACATCAACTAATGCCTTTATCGCGTCTTTTATCAGCTTCAACCGGCCTTCCCGAACGTGGTGCATCTTCGACATCAAAATTTCCGGATCGAAATTTAGCGAACCAGTTCTGGCACTGGCGTACTGTCAACACACCTTCTCCATACACATCAGTCAATTTCTTTCTGGCTTGAACAGCATTTTTACCCTTTCTGTAGTAAAACAGTAAGATATGTCGAAAATGCTGCTTATCGCTCTCCATATTTAAAAGAGCACCAACCAAAAACTACTGTGTAGAATTAATTGTAATTTTTCACACACAAGCCTTGCTATATGAGCTCTCAAAGCATATAAAAATTATACGGCTTAAATGTGAAGTTGGGTGCAAAAGAATACAATTAAATCCTCTGTCGGGAAAAAACGAAATGACTTTCCGAACAACCCTATATTATAAATACTTATAAAGCGACAAATAAACAACCAAACATGAACCAAGAACTTTTTATTCTGTCTGCCTTGGTCAAGTTCTTCCATTATTTACTTAGATTATTTAAGCAAATTGTGGTGTAGTAATATTCCACAAATTGATAATCTTTCACATTCTTTTGCCTTTATTCTGTCCGCTCTATGTGTACCAGTGGGAAAACCCGTCCACTCTAGAACTAGCTAATGGGAATCTTTTGTATCTTCTGATTCAATTTCTAATCTATACATTTTGGTTGATATTTGTAGATTGTGGAAACCTCAACTTTTGATTTTGATCGATCTTATACAAACATTAATTCTATTAAAAAGTTTGTTTTGGATATCAACGGGATCAGCGTCGGAAACTATATCTCTGGTCTTAGTTTTAATACCTGATCCACGTTGACCCGTTTTAATAATTAGTTGAACATGTCGCAAATGAGTATTAAAAATTCGCAGGAAAAATCACAACCACGACCTCTTGTAATTATTAATGCAAATGTATTCCATACATTTGGTGTGTGTTGACGCTTTGTCAGCTTTTCACTCCAGGTTTCTGTATGTTCTTTTCCAGAGACATAACGTTGCCTGAATAAATGTGTTATTTTTTCGTTCTCTTATTTAAAATTAAACGAATATTATTACAGCATTACATTCTCTTCACATTCAAAATGAGATTATAAGTATAATCTAACTTCATTTCTACCAGGAAAGGTCTTAATGTATTCCCTATGTTTCGATAGGTCTCTCAAAATTATCTATAATACTTGTGGGTCTATGTCAAGACTATTATTTTTTTATTTCGGATACCATGGCTAATTGGTGGTTAAGTTTTATCTTAATGTGTGCTAATAGTTGATAAGATCTTTTCTTCTTTTGTTGTTCAACTTGCAGCAAGTAAATTCGTTGGATAAAGTTCCAGGAAGTAAAAATAGCATCACATTACCAGAACTGCAATCTTTGGAACCCTGGGACCCTAGTCTAAAAAAAGATGCGGATGTGCAAATTTACATAGTTGACGATGTTTATAAAAAAAACAACAGCCATTATCAAATAGCAGGTTTATTTGGATATTATCAGGGTAAGAACGAAGTATGCTTTTTTAAATGATCATTGTATATCATGGTCACGTCCATTTAAGTCCGGAGTCGTTCTTCTAAATCTATATGTTGCTTCATTTCTTCAAGTATTGAAGGACGGTTGTTTCCAAGTATATATTTATACATTTACATTGTAAAGTAAAACGTATTTGTATCAATTATCCAAAAACAATCACCACATACAGCTAAACCGTCGAGATGTGGCCCCTGGCTTTTTCACTTGTGACGCAGATGATAAACAAGAACCGCATTCGGCTAGAAAAGGACGCCGTTCACGCTCGGAAGAAGTATCGAAATGCACAAAGGGTTGGCCATTGGGAACACACTATTTACTCCAACTTTATGTGTTTTTATTCTGTTTATCTAGTCGTCTATTAAATAGATTATGAAAATTATAACCCAGTCAATTGATGTGTATCAAGTTCTTAGACCGAAGAAGAGCTGAACTTAGATGATTTACCTTAACATAAAATAATCATCGTCCTATGCGCAACCGTAGGTATTATACTTCGTTCAGTTTCTGTAACGATGTGACCTTCAGTTTGACCGGCGCAAAGTAGAAAAGAACAGCACTAGGCCAGAAAAGGAAGGAGACAACTCTCGTCCAAACTCTTAACCGGCGAGGAGCCTATAATCTGTGCAGTACTGCACGGAAAAATTGATCATTTTATCCACTTCAATTGCATTGTTCAAATGTGCTGTTATTGGTACCAATTACGACTGAAAATATCAACGAGATGTTTATTTATATTTGAAGACATATTAAAGGCTTTAACGCTTATTTTCGACTTGCACTACTAATCATGATTGAACAAAACTTTTGGCAGGTACTGTATGAAAAAGTATGTTTAATGAACAAGAGTCGAGAGTATAATGAGCTTTTTTCTCCCTGCCTACGATTTTGCCAGCGCGCATCCAAGACATTGGAAGGGGCACATCAATAGAGAAAGTAAATGAAGTATACATGCTTAAAGTAATTTTATGTAGCGAGTGTTGGTCCAGCAGTACGCTCATTTTACCATCGTTATTTGACTTAATAATTGTTTTAATTAACGAACGTTGTAATTTCTTTTTGCTAGTGAGACCTGATGAAAGGAATATTTCTCCACAATTGAACAATATAGCGTTCATATTTCCACCGATAGCGCTTCTGCCGGAAAGGAATCGTATTAACGAGAGCATGTTTTGCAACGAAAGCATGGTGACCGGATGGGACTGCAAGAGCAAATACTGTGAATGTATTCATCGTTTTAAGGTAGGGAACGTTGCCGTTAAAGTACGAAGGCAGTGTGGAATGTTTGCGGAAAAACAAAAAAGAAAACACAAGTTTTTGTGTTCTTTAAGTTTCCTGTTCACTCAATATGCCTCAGCTTATGATATTCTTGTTTTAAAAATTGGTCTTAAAGTAAATAGAAAAAATTTCGCTTAGAAGAATTATTAAAAAAAAAAAAAACTAAGTATCACATTAAATGAGTAAGACCAAGATCAAACCGAAACTATATTAACCAGATCAGAACCAATATCAAGACTAGAAGGATTTGAGCACGATCAAATAAACGAGACCAAGACCAATACCAAGACTGAGACGGTTTTAGTCTTGGTCTTGGTTTGTTCATCACTAATTCCAGTCATAGAGATTATCTGGTTACTTTCCGAATTCTTGGACGTAGAATCTATACGTTTATGTGGAATTTTGGGCTTCAGTGTTTTATTAAGAGCAGGTTCATAGTCCTCTCTTTGATTTTCTTATAGTTCTATACTCATCTAAATCATCGAACTGAAAACGCGCTGTTAAGACAGCAGGTAAAGGTTGGTCTGTGTTCTGTCGGAGCTGCTGATGAGATCCAAAAAAATCGAAATCGCGATCCGCGTGTGGCAGTTTAGACAGAATACAGACCACTTGGAATTATTTTGTTCGATTATGGTAACGTGCCTATCACGTTGAGGTGAGCTACGCCGGGATTAGTTTCAGCAAGTAGATATCCATATTTTTAAATGGACCTTGTTGGAGCATACGTAATCCTCAAATGTAGCATCGTACTACAGATGGCGCTCACCACGCCATTTGTGGTATTTTCGAAAACGCGCTGTTAAGACAGCAGGTAAAGGTTGGTCTGTGTTCTGTCGGAGCTGCCTGCGACGCGCTGATGAGATCCAAAAAGATCGAAATCGCGATCCGCGTCTGGCAGTTTCGACAGAATACAGACCACTTCGAATTATTTTATTCGATTATGGTAACGTGCCTATCACGTTGAGGTTAGCTACGCCGGGATTCGTTTCAGCAAGTAGATATCCATATATTTAAATGGACCTTGTTGGAGCATACGTAATCCTAAAATGTAGCATCGTACTACAGATGGCGTTTACCGCGCCATTTGTGGTATTTTCTAAAACGCGCTGTTAAGACAGCAGGTAAAAGTTGGTCTGTGTTCTGTCGGAGCTGCCTGCGACGCGCTGATGAGATCCAAAAAGATCGAAATCGCGATCCGCGTCTGGCAGTTTCGACAGAATACAGACCACTTCGAATTATTTTATTCGATTAAGCTAACGTGCCTATCACGTTGAGGTTGGCTACGCCGGGATTCGTTTTCAGCAAGTAGATATCCACACAAGTGGACCTTGTTGGAGCATACGTAATCCTAAAATGTAGCATCGTGCTACAGATGGCGTTTACTGCGCCATTTGTAGTATTTTCTAAAACGCACTGTTAAGACAGCAGGTAAAAGTTGGTCTGTGTTCTGTCGGAGCTGCCTGCGACGCGCTGATGAGATCCAAAAAGATCGAAATCGCGATCCGCGTCTGGCAGTTTCGACAGAATACAGACCACTTCGAATTATCTTGATCGAACTGAAACATTGATGAAATTAATGTTGTTTTGCTTAGGTACCTTTGAATGCTACTGTGGAGTTGGTAATTGTGGATCAAGGTTCGTACGATGATAACGAAAACCACCCCTTCCATTTACACGGCCACTTTTTCCGAACCGTGGGAATGGGAAGGATCGGTCCAAATAATACGGCGGAAAAAGTTAAAAAGTTGGACGCTGAAGGGAAGGTTAATCGAAACCTCAAGAATGCTCCACTGAAAGACACCACACCAAACATTGGGGGAGGGTATGTCGTACTAAGATTTTTTGCCGATAATCCAGGTAAACAAGGTTTACTTATGTACCTTGCTGTTTTGTGTATTGTGTTTTTATTTGAAGGTTTCTGGTTCTTCCATTGTCATGTTGAAATCCATCAAGAAGAAGGAATGGCAGCAGTGTTCCAAATTGGCGAACACGACCAAATGTTGCCGGTTCCACCAAATTTCCCTACATGTGGAAATTATAAACCGAATTTGCCCAATCGTGTCGTTAAAAATAATTGAAATGTAATGCACACCGGTCGATTAAATAAAAAGAATATATAGAAAAGTGTTTCAATTATTCTCTTACCATTGAACAGAAGTCTTCTGTTCTTTGGATTGATATAATTCAAGTTTAGCTTTTAAAACCACGAAATCATTCATTTATATTGTCGCACATTAAATAGTGATGGGATTAAATATACTGTAAATGTATCTAAAAATTTTAAATTAACAATTCATCAGTTTATGAACGCTTTGTCACTCCTTCGCTCCTTCTCCTTCCCTTTGTATCGAACCGAACTCGTTCTCGTATTAACTAACTTGTACTCGATTTCGCGACGACTATTTATACGAGGCTGACCGTGTTCTAGAATGAATCAATATATGCCTTCTAGAAACCTGCTCATCTTTGCCACTATGTATGTTGGGGTGGCTACCACATGTATGTAGGCACCCCAACATAATATTAAAAATGTGATTAAATATTCGAACATTTTAGATTACGCTAACCATTTTAAACTCTTTAAAAAGATTAGTTGTTGATGCTGAGGAGCTTCAGATTGATCTCAATGTCATTATTACTTTTAATTGATCAAAAAAGATTGAAACTCAATACAAAATAGAATTAAATAATGTCGGAGATCTTGAGGTAAAAATATAATAGTACTGAAAAGTGTATGTACTAAAAGGACTTACTAAGTTTACGAATCAAAATATTGATTTGGCCGACGCACTAGGAAAAAATATAAGTGCTTGTGTTGATCTCCTTTTAATAAAATTCTGGTTAAGCATCCATCTAATTTAAACCACTCAAAGTGCACCAAATTAAAGCGGCGAGTAAAAATTCCAATTACACGTGGAAGCAAAACTGTTGGTAGTTTCTTGTGAAAAATAAACGAAAGCCGAAAGCCATTTAGTTATATAACATCAGTAACTTCCTTGCAGCTACGTGATTTATTATATTAACTTTTACGTTTTCTCGTGAGCTTTACCTACAAGTACTTAGAGTCTGTCCAGGGTGTAATTGTTGATGCTACTTGATCTTAACACGGTCCATAATAGTCCAAAGCTTTTACTTACGAAATGCGAACTACTTTCAGAGCAGCTAGAACTTTCGCGATTAATAACAAAAGAAAAGCAGGATGTTACTGTATGTCGGGTAAAAACAAACAACTCAAAATTAGTTGGAAACATAATGAGAAATTGCTGTTTGCTGAGTGACGTTCCGTACAGCTTACGAAAATATTATCTGCATTCTTTTTTTGGACTAGTTACTAGTTTTAACACAAAATTATATTTACAAGAGCGAATCAAAAGTATTTTAGTTTCATTATAGGAAGGAGATGCTGGGAAAATGTTTGCTTTCCTCTCTTTGAAGCTCCATAATAGACATATCGATTTCCTAATACAAATTTCCATAAAATGAAATAAGTCTGTCATCGTATCTATTTTCTGCAACCCCTGTTGTGTGTTTTAGTTCGGAACAGTATATCTTTTTTGTTTGAACAACAACTTTATGGTAACCAAACACAGCCGACAATATTTTACGTCCTTACTTCTCCCCTGCGATCAAACTTTTTACTTACATTGGCTTCAACAAAATGTCGAACAGTTTTCATAAACGTTGTGACACAAAACGTCGATAACTGGAAACGAATCAACTTAAGTTTACAAATTGCACCAGAATTTTAATATATTATTATGTGCATAGATACACCTCCCATTGGACTATTGATTAAGATCTCCTACATCAAAACTATCTTGATAGAATTCAAGATTATTCGTGGAAAGAGCGCGCTGGTGCAAAGCTGGACAGTAGAGTTGATGCTTTTAGGAATTGTGGTAACTGATAGGTGGTGGTGGTTAGAAGAAGGAGGAAAATGCAACATTTGCTACGTTTTAGTAGATTCGATGTTTAGTAATTGAGATACTTATCTCTATATTGTTTGATGCAACGTCATGCTTCGTTATTTACGTGATGTTCCGCAAGATTTAAGATATACTTCTTGTAACTTGTTGGCAACTTCGTTTATCAGATCATTATAGAAATTGCTGTCGATTGCACGCCATACTAACGGAAATAATATTGATTTATGGTACTCAACAATAAGGCGTCGAGCTGTCGAAAATGTAATCTGTATAGACTCGAACGTAATCGTAAAAATTTGACCGTCATCGAACATTCAAGAAACTAAATGAAGAGGCACAAGTAACACTGAACAGGTAAATAATAAGATAAATTTATAATTTGTCAGGACTACTAAAGAGTAAGTTTCGGACTGGATCCCTTGGCTTTCTGGAGCTGTGGGTTACCGTAATGGTCTACAATACCGTAGTTGTAGCGAGCGGTATGGCCGAGAGGTTTAGACCGTTGCTTGGCATTCGGGAGGACGTCGGTTCGATTCCGGTTCCGTCTGCCTTAGCTCACGTTTTTCTGTGGTTTTCTTGGATCACTTAGGCAGATGCTGGGGCAGTAATATTCTTTCATTCTCTTCTGTCTTCATTTCGTCCATTTCATCTGTCTCACCCGAACCACTACCCACCCATTCCTACGATTCCTAATAGGAGGCTGAAGAGGGCCTTCCGCCCTACCTACCGGCGTAGTCCGGAGGGACCGCCCGCCCACCAGCATTAGTGGCTGGTGGGAATGAAATACCTAAAAGTTTTTTTTTAATTATACCACTGATAAATTGTGGTTTAAGCCCGAATCAAACAGAAAACCCTTTCCTTTCTGAAAGTACATACCAAAAAGTCGAAAAATTATCTAGATGTACCTACTCTAATAATGCAATGGTCAATATCAAAACACCTGAACATTGCAGTTAATAATGTCAGCCGTTAATGTAACAAAACGATTTGGCAGCAATTTTAATTGGCTGTTGTTTATACATACACACCAATTATAACAACACCGAACGTAAGCTACAAGACAATTATAAAACGTTGCTAGGATTACTGTATGATCTGTGCATATCTGCACTATAAATTTGTAGGGTTTTGGTGTTTCTGTATATCCTCGCTTTCGTCTTAATAAAAGATACAGATAACAGTGTACCGCGACCCATTGACTGGCCGACCGACGCGTAGCGTCTCGACGTCCGATGACGCGGGCGAATTGGTGCAATTCTTTCGGAAATGCGCAGGTCCACTGTTTCAGCCCCCTCGAGGAGACGGCACCGTACACCCCCGGTATTCGTCGCGCGTTCTTCCAGTGATATAATGCGTTGATACGGTGATTATAGGTACTGTTTCAACTGCATCCGGAGTGATTTGGATACGATTGTTTTTCTTTTTGTATGAAAAATGGGTAAAAGGAACTCGAAACTCAAACAGGACACTATCAACCGACTCACCACAGCCACTTATTGTAAGTTTCACGTTGCTTCTTGAACTTCGTATGCTTTTAAGAAAGTTTCCATTTGCGCTAATTTAAAATTGGTGTAAACCGTGAAATACTTAAACCAATTTTTTTTTTGTTTCGAAACACATCACCAGAAGTTACTTACTAATTTCAAAACAGTCAATTGAACGAAACAATCGAAGAAAATAACAAGTGATTTCTAAATGCTGAACAACAACTTTATTGTTTATTAAACAAAATGAAACTTAACACGCATTAAGGCAATAAGGCGTTTTTGTCATCTTTTATAAGTTTCTTGATGATAAAAATGAGTTTCAGCAGTTCTTAAAGTTGCCAAAATTCTTAAAATGGTGAAGTTTTTATTTTTCGTCTGACATCAAAGTAAGCCATATCCAATTTTTATGGAGCACAACACAGTTTCCAGTTCATTTGCCTGTTGTGAGACGGTATGATGCAGTACCATTAAAAAACCATATAATATATGTTCTACACACATAAAGTTTTAACTATTTAGGATTAGTAATGCATTTATTTCTTATCTTCTACTATTTAAAATAACTACCCAAGGTTACCATTTATCTATGAGTAGGTATACATGGCGAACTGAATTAAATTTAAACAAATTTAGAAACAAATATAACGGATCTAAGAATAAAAGTATAAAACAGTGATGATTATGTATGCATGCAGGTTGTAGGTGTAGGTGCAACATGGTGGCGCAACTAATTTGAGCTTGTTTTACAAGTTGTGTGTAAACATCACCTTTAACAGCAGCATGTTTCTGTATCAACAAAACATGCAACATGTAAATGCAATTTCATGCAACACGCTTTATGAACTCTTTTTATACCATAGTTCTTGCAAGCAAATTATCGACACTGCATCCAGTAAGACGTTTACACAAAACATGCATTGAGAAAATACAAGAAATAGAAAACGAAATAATCTTTTTCTGTAAATTAATTTAGAATTAATGTTAATAATAG